TCTTTATTAACCCAGGTCACTCTCGACTAATGCTGAGCTGAGCATTCATTGTCTGCAGTAGAGACACTGAAGATTCTTTATTAACTCAGGTCACTCTCGACTAATGCTGAGCTGAGCATTCATTGTCTGCAGTAGAGACACTGAAGATTCTTTATTAACCCAGGTCACTCTCGACTAATGCTGAGCTGAGCATTTATTGTCTGCATTAGAGCCACTGAAGATTCTTTATTAACTCAGGTCACTCTCGACTAATGCTGAGCTGAGCATTTATTGTCTGCAGTAGAGCCACTGAAGATTCTTTATTAACCCAGGTCACTCTCGACTTATGCTGAGCTGAGCATTCATTGTCTGCAGTAGAGCCACTGAAGATTCTTTATTAACCCAGGTCACTCTCGACTAATGCTGAGCTGAGCATTCATTGTCTGCAGTAGAGACACTGAAGATTCTTTATTAACCCAGGTCACTCTCGACTAATGCTGAGCTGAGCATTTATTGTCTGCAGTAGAGACACTGAAGATTCTTTATTAACTCAGGTCACTCTCGACTAATGCTGAGCTGAGCATTCATTGTCTGCAGTAGAGCCACTGAAGATTCTTTATTAACCCAGGTCACTCTCGGCTAATGCTGAGCTGAGCATTCATTGTCTGCAGTAGAGCCACTGAAGATTCTTTATTAACCCAGGTCACTCTCGACTAATGCTGAGCTGAGCACTTATTGTCTGCAGTAGAGACACTGGATTGTTGCTAGGTGACCACTTTCACCACTGGCAGATCAACTATTGATGAATTCAGCACCGGCACAAGTGTAAACCTCCTGTATTGGAGCCTACACATGAACACAGAATGAACACAACATGCTCACTTGTTCATTTTTCTTCCCTCATTACAAAGCTACTACAATGCAGACCTCAAAGGCAGAACGAACTGGGGACCCACGAAACGGTTCTTCTTATAAAAAAGTCCTCTTCAGAGTTCAAGCGAGCAAGTACTGCTGGGAATAAACAAACTGATCTTCACAAAAGAAATTCACCACATGTGAGACTGCCCTAAACATTCTGCAGTGTACATTGCTGTTTGCATAATTTGTCCAGCTAAACACAGGATGGGCAGGTTACATCTGATCATGGCTGGTATGAAAATTCCAGGCATGCTTTCTATAATTTCATATACCTTTCTTTCTCTCAGACACTTTACAACTGAAACCACTGCAGCAGCTGGTGAAAACACATCCCCCTGCTGGTGAAAACACATCCCCCTGCTGGTGAAAACACATCCCCCTGCTGGTGAAAACACATCCCCCTGCTGGTGAAAACACATCCCTGCTGGTGAAAAACACATCCCTGCTGGTGAAAACACATCCCTGCTGGTAAAAACATATCTCTGCTGGAAAAATTAATGACAATTGAACAAATCAAGGCTGTGAAATGTGATCTCACCAAACAACTGCAGTTAAAAATCAAGTACAAAAGGCTGGACATGAAAGACAGGATAGAAGCCATGCTGCAGGAAACACACACACACACACTAGTTACACAAACATGAACCTTCATTTATTATCATATTATTCTATTTCAGGTTAATCAGACAAATGTTTGTTCCAATCAGCAAATAAATGTCACAAACAAAAGCCGAGTATCAAAATGTTTATGAAAACCTTAGGGACTCGAATAAACGTTTGTGAATATCTTGACAAATATCAGAAATACAGTGGTACCTAGGTATACATAAAAATACGTTCCAGATCCTTGGATATACGCCAAAAAGCCTGTATACCAAACTGGTTTTCCACATAAGAAATAAAGGGAGAATGATTAATCCGTTCCCTGGAAAACAAATCCTATTGGTAATGGCGTATTATACACTGATGAGGTTGTATACTGCTTTCATATACTGCTTAAACCTAAATACATAAATACAAAATCAATCAGATGAAATAAATGACCAATTTAACCTCACTTGACCTTCCTGAGAGGTGATGAGTGCCTACAGGGATGGTACTGAGAAAGGAGGAGGAGGAGATGTTATTGACTGGCAGGAGTCTCCCCCCCCCCCCCCCCCCCAATAATAATTCAGGAATGAATTCTAATTTTCTTCTTTTCCATCTCTGTTTTTTTTTAAAATGCTACTTGGATGTGGCTGAGGCTTATCAGATTTGACTTAAGACTAACCTGCCCAAAGAACTTTTCTTCTGCCCTGTCCTCCGGGTGTTTAAGGAATGTAATACTGTCTGCTCATTCCAGACAATGCTATTACAGCTTGTTTATTCTCCGTTAAGGTGATACTTTCTTAGAAAAGTCATAGAGAGAATCAGAGAGTGCTCAAAGTCCTGATCAATTCTGGCCCATACAATTTCACATTCCAAAGGTCGTATACAAAGCAATAGTTTTCGCATCTAAACAGGATGTATAACAAGTTAAACATGTACTAAAGTGAACATACTATGCCAAGGTACCAATGTATATCTCAATTCAATAACTACTTGGACACATAAATATTTATACTGCCTCAGAGAGTATTATAAATATTTGTAAATGTTCTTAGAAAATACCAGAAATATTTGTGATTATTTAGAAAATATCATCAATATTTGAAGACACTGGTCAAGATACTATAGCCTTCTCTACGCTGATGAGCAATGATCTTTATTATAAATAAGACTGTCTTGTCTAGCCAACAACTGTGCCATATTAACTAATCTATTCCAGGACTGTCCTTGATCTTTTTGCAGGACTGTCTCTTATCTAACCCAAGACTGTCTGTGATCACTCTTAGCCAGGGACTGTCTGTTATCTCCAATCTTGGCCAGGGACTCTATGTGATCTTCACTCTTAGCCAGGGATAGATAATGCTCTCCACTCTTTTCCAGGGATGGATAGTGCTCTCCACTCTTAGCCAGGGATGGATAATGCTCTCCACTCTTAGCCAGAGATGGATAATGCTCTCCACTCTTAGCCAGGGATGGATAATGCTCTCCACTCTTAGCCAGGGACGGATAGTACTCTCCACTCTAAGCCAGGGATGGATAGTGCTCTCCACTCTTAGCCAGGGACGGATGGTGCTCTCCACTCTTAGCCAGGGACTCTCTGTGATCTCCACTCTTAGCCAGGGATTGTCTGTGCTCTCTACTCTTAGCCAGGGATGGATAGTGCTCTTCACTCTTGGCCAGGGACAGACAGTGCTCTCCACTCTTAGCCAGGGATGGATTGTGCTCTCCATTCTTAGCCAGGGACAGATAGTGCTCTCCACTCTTAGCCAGGGATGGATAGTGCTCTCCACTCTTAGCCAGGGATGGATAGTGCTCTCCACTCTTAGCTAGGGACAGATAGTGCTCTCCACTTTTAGCCAGGGATGGATAGTGCTCTCCACTCTTAGACAGGGATGGATAGTGCTCTCCACTCTTATCCAGGGTCTCTCTGTGATCTAATGCAAATTCTCCGATGTGTAAAATTTATAAGAATTATTTATTCTCCAAAACTGGACAAAAAAACCAGTGAGATGACAAGGGGAGAACCTTGAGGTAGCCACAAACCTAACGATTGTACAGCCCAGTCATTGTATTTAGACAGATAAGCATAACCTATGTCATGAACACATACATGAAACTGAGACATGAACACATACATGAAACTGAGTCATGAACACATACATGAAACTGAGTCATGAAATAAAGTCTCCAGCAACAACTTCATCACACCAAACGCTATTACAGTCACCAGGAAACTAACAATGGCAGAATGTATACAGTTCAACACTACAAACACCGTTACAAATCCACATTGTTGAACATTTTAACGAATTTCTGGTCTTCAAGAATGATGACATAGTTATTTGATATCAAGCCTGTAAGCAGGCTGAACTTGTACGAGTATATTCAGTCTCCCATCCCACTAAACGTTCTAGTGACACGTTTCTGCCTATGTTTGGTGACCTGTTAATCAGCCAACTGATCAGATCTGTGATAGTCTGTCTATGATACCACCGGCTGAGTCAAGCACACAGTTATCTAGAGAGGTCAATATCTCCTGTCTGTGTCATCTGCCACTACCCATAACATGTGGTGTTTAATTAACCTGTTATTTCAATTGTCTTGAATATGTATACATCAGTCTGCTTAATGAGTGTTGCAAGTGTCTGACATTCAATTCTTCCACCTAAAAACTGAAAGAAACAGAACTGTTTTGCACAAAACAGTTCTATACTGAGTGAGCTAAATTTTGCCCATGAAGTCCGCAAGGTTTAACATTGTTTTTCAAGTCAATTTCTTCTTACCGCATGTCCAAAAAAACATCTTGATTGTCAGCATTAATTTCTTCTAGTTTTTAAAAAAAATGGTTTTCTCTGAGTTGACTGTTATGTGTGCATAGACCTTAAAAACCATAACTCTGCTGTTATCAGGTGTATCTCATCTCATCTAGTTACTGCCCTTGTCTAAAACAGAACCTGTCAATGTCTCTAATAAGAATTGTGTCCATGTCTCTATTACAAACACTGTCTATGTCTCTAATAAGAATTGTGTCCATGTCTCTATTACAAACTTTGTCTATGTCTCTAATAAGAATTGTGTCCATGTCTCTATTACAAACTTTGTCTATGTCTCTAATAAGAATTGTGTCAAGATCTCTAATATAAACAATTACGCAGGTTTTCTCTGTCTTACAGTGAACAATATCCTTTTCTTGGTATATTTTTTCAGCTTGCATAAAGTTACATTTTGAAGGACAAGCCAGGTTTTACTCCAAACATTCACTATTACCATAAACTTCATACAACATTAATAGATAAATAGGTCAAAAATCCCACCCCCCCCCCCCCCCCCCCCCCAATTGATTCAACATAGTTTTGCATCTAAGTCAGTTTCCAATAACAGCGAATATAAAATATATGGACATAAATCTCTCAAAGAACTGAACTGACAGTACGAGACAGTGTGACAACTAGTCCCAACACACAGACACTGACACAGACTACAAGAATGACTCAGCAGATATGACAATTTAGCAGTTAATCCCAGTCTTTCTTGACAGCCAAATTCCATTCCCAGGCCACATACTTGTTCTGGTCATCGTCAGCGAACCGTGACTTGATATTGTAGTTGCCCCGATACAGCATGCCGCTGGGAGCTTCTTCTGTTGCCGTGGTGAAGGACTGAAGTTCGGGCTTCGGCCCATAACTACCCATCATCTGCGTCATCTTGCTCACTGTTGGAGAGCACAAAAACAGGTCAGGCTAGAGTCAGTTTTGTCAAAGGAGTGTCAAATGGTAACACTGTTGGAGAACACAAAAACAGGTCAGGCTAGAGTCGGTTCTGTCAGAGGAGTGTCAAATGGTAACACTGTTGGAGAACACAAAAACAGGTCAGGCTAGAGTCGGTTCTGTCAGAGGAGTGTCAAATAGTGACACTGTTGGAGAACACAAAAACAGGTCAGGCTAGAGTCGGTTCTGTCAGAGGAGTGTCAAATGGTGACACTGTTGGAGAACACAAAAACAGGTCAGGCTAGAGTCGGTTCTGTCAGAGGAGTGTCAAATGGTGACACTGTTGGAGAACACAAAAACAGGTCAGGCTAGAGTCGGTTCTGTCAGAGGAGTGTCAAATGGTAACACTGTTGGAGAACACAAAAACAGGTCAGGCTAGAGTCGGTTCTGTCAGAGGAGTGTCAAATGGTGACACTGTTGGAGAACACAAAAACAGGTCAGGCTAGAGTCGGTTCTGTCAGAGGAGTGTCAAATGGTGACACTGTTGGAGAACACAAAAACAGGTCAGGCTAGAGTCGGTTTTGTCAGAGGAGTGTCAAATAGTGACACTGTTGGAGAACACAAAAACAGGTCAGGCTAGAGTCGGTTCTGTCAGAGGAGTGTCAAATGGTGACACTGTTGGAGAACACAAAAACAGGTCAGGCTAGAGTCGGTTCTCTCAAAGGAGTGTCAAATGGTGAGAATATCACACATCCTTGGTCACAGTTACTGCTCTAACTCAAGTCAAACAATAGGCAAAGAACATGTCTGATCAGAGATGATGCTGTTTTAAGTCTAAGCACACAACATGTCAAAGTCAGATAAACACCTAAAAAAAGTCAGTAAGCAAAGAACATGTCTGGTTAGAGAAACTACTATAACACAAAAAAGTCAACAGTAAGCAAAGAACATGTCTGGGTACAGAAACTACCATTTTTTAAAAAGTCAACAGTAAGCAAAGAACATATCTGGTTACAGAAACTACTTTAAGAAAATAAATAAAAAAGTCAACAGTTAGCAAAGAACATGTCTGGTTACAGAAACTACTTTAAGAAAACAAACCAACAAGTCAACAGTTAGCAAAGAGCATGTCTGGTTACAGAAACTACTTTAAGAAAACAAACAAACAAACAAATAAGTCAACAGTTAGCAAAGAACATGTGGCCACATCTCAAATATACCGAGCATACTGAGTTCAGATTTAAATCGACCTCTGGTATTTGATAGTCTCCTGCTGTAGATGACACTCAGATATTCCAATAAGTGCTGCAGTCTCCCCCCCCCCCCCCCCCCCCCCCCCCCCCCCCCCCCCCCCACCCCCCCCCCCCCCCCCCCCCCCCCCCCCCCCCCCCCCCCCCCCCCCCCCCCCCCCCCCCCCCCCCCCCCCCCCCCCCCCCCCCCCCCCCCCCCCCCGATCAAACAAGAACCTCAACACAGTTGATCAGCAGCTAGCAGGTCCTCTCCTCACTGACTGCCTGAAAGAAACTCGTTCTCTCACTAGCTCTCCCACCTCGTGTACTTTTCCATCCAAGGTGTCACTAATAACTTCATGCTGGTCGACCCCTGCCCTCTGGTACCATGCCTTCTGCTATTATTCTTTCAAACCAGCCAAAACATTTGAAAAATTCCCAGCAAGTGTGCAAATGCATATTTGCTAAATTTGTCTATCTCTAAAGTACGCTCCCTATATTCACCATTCTAAAACACAGCACTTGGAATTGCAAGTGAACACAACTTGACTCTAACCTGATCTAATAGCTCACTTACCCTGCACTCCTTTCCTGCTGACTTTCTGTTCATACCGAAGGCCCACAACAATATCCCTCTGTACATAAAAGTATATTTTGATCTGGTACTTGCAGCCTTCCTTCATGGTAAATGATTCCTTCTTAATATCTTCTTTAGGCTCTAGAGATTGGAAAAAGGACAACATGATCAAACACAAACAACCAGAAGCAACAATCCAACCAAATAACAGAACTGATCACAAACAACACAACCTAGCAGAAGTGGCGTCCTGCAACCATGCTCACAAATCACATAGGATGCACAACAAACCAGAAGTGGAGTCATGTAACCATGCTCAGTCCAGACACAACACATAAACTAGCATAAGTGAAGCATGTAACCATGTACACAGACCACACACAACCTAGCATAAGTGAAGTCATGTAACCATGCATACAGACCATATACAACACACAAACTAGCATAACTGAAGCATGTAACCATGCACACAGACCACATACAACACACAAACTAGCATAAGTGAAGCATATAACCATGCACACAGACCACACACAAACTAGCATAACTGAAGCATGTAACCATGTACACAGACCACACACAACCTAGCATAAGTGAAGCATGTAACCATGCATACAGACCATATACAACACACAAACTAGCATAAGTGAAGCATGTAACCATGCACACAGACCACACACAACCTAGCATAAGTGAAGCATGTAACCATGCACACAGACCACATACAACACACAAACTAGCATAAGTGAAGCATGTAACCATGCACACAGACCACACACAACCTAGCATAAGTGAAGCATGTAACCATGCACACAGACCACATACAACACACAAACTAGCATAAGTGAAGCATGTAACCATGCACACAGACCACATACAACACACAAACTAGCATAAGTGAAGCATGTAACCATGCACACAGACCACATACAACACACAAACTAGCATAAGTGAAGCATGTAACCATGCACACAGACCACATACAACACACAAACTAGCGTAAGTGGAGTCATGTAACCATGCTCACAGATCACATACAACACACAAACTAGCATAAGTGGAGTCATGTAACCATGCACACAGATCACATACAACACACAAACTAGCGTAAGTGGAGTCATGTAACCATGCTCACAGATCACATACAAAACACAAACTAGCATAAGTGGAGTCATGTAACCAAGCTCACAGATCACATACAAAACACAAACTAGCATAAGTGGAGTCATGTAACCATGCACACAGACCACATACAACACACAAACTAGCATAAGTGGAGTCATGTAACCATGCACACAGACCACATACAACACACAAACTAGCATAAGTGGAGTCATGTAACCATGCACACAGATCACATACAACACACAACAAACCAAAAGTGGAGTCCTGTAACCATTCTCACAGATCACATACAACACACAACAAACCAGAAGTGGAGTCCTGTAACCATTCTCACAGATCACATAAAACACACAACAAACCATGCACACAGACCACATACAACACACAACCTAGCAAAAGTGGGGTCCTGGAACATGCACTTACTAGTGAGATCTATGAACACTTCGTCTCTGCCCTCTGCAAGCAGTGATAGCTTCTGTACAATCACTTTGTTGGGATTTGTCTCATCTAAAACAGATAAAAAACAATGTTGTTAATATATGCAGTTGGGGTTGGGGGGGGGGGGGGGGGGGGGGGGGGGGGGGGGGGGGGTAGGTCAATCTCATGGGGAACAAGAGAGGCAATAGGAAATCAACATCAAAATGTAGAAGGGCCTCTAAAGACCAATGCGACCAACGCTGTCATCAAATTTGATAGAGTCTCTCATTTCCAGCCACACAGACTTTACTGCCTAAGGAGTTTTCTTGTTATTCTTCTGCATTCACTATCAAAAAAGCAGCTGAAACAGTGTGTTGAGGTTATCAGTCAGGCTAAGATATCTGCATCTTTCAGCCTAAAATATCTAATTTCAGCAAACCCACACAGGGAAGGTGTTCGATTCCCCCGTGTCCACCCACATACTGGTCATCCCCTGCATTTCTTCCAGGAACCGTGCCCATGATTTCTAAAAGACAGTAAAGCATTTCTTCTTCTTATTTTTCTGAGATGACCTTTAAAAGTGTGGCTGGCAAGGTCTGTTGTGGTTTACAGCTAGGCTGTAAAATCTGGGCCTTTAGGCCAAACATACCCACTATTAACAAATCTGCAGTCACGTTTTATATCATGTTTGTGAAGGATCGGTGGGTCCACTACCCCTCTCCGAAAAAAAAAGGTCCTGAAAGCCATGGGGAAGTGAAGCAGTGAATCAAGTTTCTCAGTCTGCAAATGATGATGCTAATAACGGGCTAGTTTTCTTCAAGATTCAGATCTGCTAGAATCTCAGGATTGATATTCTTCAAGAACCAAAGATTCCAAGAATCTTTTTGTAACATTTCATCAGCCCTAAAGTTGCTCTTTATAGCTGGAGGATGATTAATAACTAGTGTGTGAACATGGCCACAGGAAGGACATATGTTCTTAAATTCCCCCATTAGTTTCTGTTTACATGCAACAGACTTTTAACACTGATTATATGTTGCCATGTTTTCCGCAGTGCTTCCTATCGTCTACTGAATCATTTACACTGTTAGTTACTGAACTCACACACATAATTTCTTCACCATGACTGAATCACATCTGACAATTCTTTTTTTTCCCTTTGGGAAATAAACGTCTGACGAAATAGATGAGGAAATTCATGGCTAACAATAACATATGTTATTGTCTAAGACATGCAAAATAACCAGCACATGGCTTCCAACACTGGAACAATATGATAAAATAACAAAAATGATAACATGGCAACTATGCTGTTCACCAATAAAAATATAACATATCAACAACATGGCAACAATGGTGCCCACCAATGATAATACAACATAACTAACATAAATAGGAACAATTCTGCATACCAATGATAACACAACATAAGGTAGGAACAATGGTGCCTAACAATGACAACATAACATAGGAACAATGGTGCCTAACAATGACAACATAACATAGAAACAAAGGCGCCTCACAAGGATAATATAACAACATAGGAACAATGGCGCCTACCAATGATCACATTCCCAGACAGGCCTCCACCCAGCAATGCTTCCTTGTACTTTGCCAGACTCTCGTCTTCTGCATCTTGTTTGACAATTTCCTCCAGAGCCTTGGGAGCCGGGGGTTTGTAGCCGAGAGTTTCTTCTTCTTCTTCATCAGCTTCGGGAGCAGTCTCTTCATGTTCGGCCATCTGTAAAACAAGTAGAGGACGGTCTAAGTCTAAGTCTCAGATGCAAGTGCCCTTGCTTCGTTATATGGATTTTAACTCTGTCACTACCATGAAGTGCAAGATACATTCCTATATAAATATGCAATAGCACCAGTGAATGCACAACAGTTGGATTATATGCATCTCTTTGTAACCCTTTTGCTACAGGAACGAACGAACGCACACACACAAACAGGTCAAGATCCCATTAAAATGTCAGGACAAAATTCTCAATAAAAAATTAGTTTTAAATGTAGGTGATTTTCTTTTTGTTCATCCCATGTACTGGATATATATATAGATGTGTGTGTGTGCGCGCACACAATGTAGAGAAATAGATTCTGGTCCATTTTTTTGGGTGTGTGCTCATCCCCTTCTCTGAAGATTCTGTGGGGAGTTCCAGGGACGGTCAAATATTACAGGGGGCTGAGGTTAGTATCAGTCTGTGTTTATTTCGAACCCTATCACCCCTATCCTTTTGGACATCCTCTGCAACTCCTCAGGAAATCTTGGAGTCTCCAAAATATGGTGAAAACAGACAAATTACCAAAACCTACATTTTTTTTTTCCATTAAAAAAACCACACAAAGGCAGATGAAGAGTGTGAAGCAAGAAACAGAAAACCTTTCCTAGGGCCTGAAAAAAAGTACTAATATCAGATGACTCACACCTTTACCACTGAGGGCTGTGGGAAAATCTGACCTCAACTCGGCATTAAAGAAGCTATTTTGCTGAAAAAGGGTTATCTGCCAGTGGATAATGCAAAATCACAAATCTCAAAAATCTGATCAGTCGTGGCGCGGTGATTTCGGTCACAGGCATGAGGGGAAGTTAAGTCTGATGTGATGTGTATAAGAAGATATTCCGTACCCCACTCGGGCGCCAGTCCTTCACTGTTCTGGTTTTACGGAACCTCATGCAAGACTCCTGCCGCACGTCCCCGTCGTGCGCCACGGATAATGTCTCAAATGAGCAATAACAGAGTTGGCAGGGGATCTCGGAGCTGGCGGCCCCTAGAGGTGTAGTTCCCTTTCTGGCTCTCACCAGCCCGCCCCCAAACGCATGGGTGAAAAGTATAACAAAACTCATTCGGAACATGAGTAAGGATTGCTTGCTAAATGTACCATCAAATGACAACTCTCGGTTAAAACTCGGAAGCGAATGGAAAACTGTGCTGCTGAGACTCAACCCTGACCGAGAGATTTACCCGCAGCCAAGATGAGTAACATCTCTTGTGGGCGATTTCTCGCAGCAAGATCCTACCCACATACATCCTCTGTCAATCCTCAGTGTCGTCGTCACCGCGCTGAGGTACACCACAGCAGCAACTCTTCATAAGCTGGCTAGGAAATAACGTCCGACAAAGTTATACCCCACGGCACACATGCAAGCTCAAAGTCCGACGATCAGAATTCGTACAGAGCAGGAAAAAGCCAAATGTCCGTATCCACTGGTCCCACTCGCCCGAGTGTTGGGACCAAACAGGTGAAGCCTGATTCTGTCGTGCTAAGGGCACAGCTGAAACAACGTTAATTGTGTCTAACGTACGATGAAAAAGAATGTAACCATTTGTGCGGCCACAAAAGTCCTGGACCTGCGGGCTGCTCCCCGCTGATCTCCGGAGAGTGCAGCCTTGTAGCGCGGGAAGCTCAATACACGGTTGTGAGGTTAAGCAGTCATGGGCAGGACGTGACGATTCCTTGGGTGAGCCCAGAACCAGAGCATCATGTGTCGGCTCTGCATTTATGGAAGCCTCCTTGGATGGCGGGGAATGCCCATGATCTGCCCCTGCCTTCCCTTGAGGGCTGACAATTCTACCTAGGGCTGCCTTAAGGAGGATATTCCGGGGGCCACATCTGTTAAAGGTCAAAGAGGACACCAAACAAATGAGGCAACATCTCGACCCACACAAAACAATGGCCACAGTCAACCTAGAAATAGGCTTGACGTCTTCCCTCGAAGTCGGAGTGAGGCAGGGAACGAGGACTGCGAACAAATAAGACAGTAAAACGGATGTACACGCAAAACTCAGGTCAAGGTAAAAGCTAAAAGTCCATTTGGACGAACAACCGCGACTTACCGACGGAATTCACAGCCGGTGAACAAGAAGAAGAAGAATCTGATCAGTCAGGTTTTTTGTATTTTGGTAATACACAGATAGGGTATTCTAGATTATTCTGGAATGTGGTTAAAAGCAAACAATTTAGTGGTTTTGTGTGCTTTACAAAGTAAATAAGCGTTTGTCTGAAAACAATATGGCTGCCAAATAGTCTCTGTCATTAATATTAATGTAATTTACAGCTTTAGAGATCTCAGATCTAAATAAAACAGCATGCTGATCAGATTTATGTGGAGCAGAAAGAAGCCAGTAATGAAGTAGATCTGTCTCAGTCAGTGACAGGGTCAAGCTTTACTGAGGGACTACTCTATATGCACCTCATACAAAGATGACAGCTGCCACAGGCAGAACAAATATTAGGGAAACAGCATTTTCTTTCATGTCAACTGGTTCTAGCGCTTTTGTTATAATACAGCTGAGAGTATAACTACAAAATTACAGATAATCTGAGTTGTATTTAGTTCTTTTTAGGTGTAAAAATGTCTCTTTAAGAAACTCTATATGTACAAATTATTGATACTTATTTTTACATTATTAACCCATTGACGTCCAACTGACAGTGTGTGTTGATAGAAATTCCCATTTGCCAAAACAGCCAACTCTGCAACAAGGCTAATGTCCCACATATATTGATTTTCAGATTGCTTAGTTCTAGTTTTTAATATCCGAAACTATATTCAGAATATTCAGGGAAGGTTACTGTTACATTTTTACTTGTTGGCAGTCTTTGTTGAAATGTTTAGGCACAATGTTATCAAATTCATTGCAAGTGTTGTTTTCAGACAGTAAATTTTCTAATTTCATCTTTGACTCACCATGGATACCAATGTTCAGAGCACAAGCACGGGCCACAAAATGTGCCTTCTGCAGGGGAAGTTCTAACACAAAATGTGCCTTCTGCAGGGGAAGTTCTAACACAAAATGTGCCTTCCTGCGGCTGAAGCTCTAACACAAAATGTGCCTTCTGCAGGGGAAGTTCTAACACAAAATGTGCCTTCTGCAGGAGAAGCTCTAACACAAAATGTGCCTTCCTGCGGCTGAAGCTCTAACACAAAATGTGCCTTCTGCAGGGGAAGTTCTAACACAAAATGTGCCTTCTGCAGGAGAAGCTCTAACACAAAATGTGCCTTCTGCAGGAGAAGCTCTAACACAAAATGTGCCTTCTGCAGGAGAAGCTCTAACACAAAATGTGCCTTCTGCAGGAGAAGCTCTAACACAAAATGTGCCTTCTGCAGGAGAAGCTCTAACACAAAATGTGCCTTCCCATGGCTGAAGCTCTAACACAAAATGTGCCTTCCTGCGGCTGAAGCTCTAACACAAAATGTGCCTTCTGCAGGGGAAGTTCTAACACAAAATGTGCCTTCTGCAGGAGAAGCTCTAACACAAAATGTGCCTTCCCATGGCTGAAGCTCTAACACAAAATGTGCCTTCCTGCGGCTGAAGCTCTAACACAAAATGTGCCTTCTGCAGGGGAAGTTCTAACACACAATGTGCCTTCTGCGGGGGAAGCTCTAACACACAATGTGCCTTCTGCGGGGGAAGCTCTAAGACAAAATGTGCCTTCCCATGGCTGAAGCTCTAACACAAAATGTGCCTTCCTGCGGCTGAAGATCTGAAACAAAATGTGCCTTCCTGCGGCTGAAGCTCTAACACAAAATGTGCCTTCCTGCGGCTGAAGCTCTAACACAAAATGTGCCTACCTGCGGCTAAAGCTCTAATATAAAATGTTTTTCAACAGTGCATTTTCTGTTTGTGTTCGAATGCCATGGATACCAACATTCTAACCACAAGTACAAGTCCCAAAATGCATCTTTCTGTAGCCAAAGCTCTGAAACTGTTTCAGTCAAATTATGTTTCTAATTCTGATCATTGAGATTTTTCAGAAAGTGATTCAGATGGTGAATATAAGCCAGCAGCAGCTGAGTGGTCAGCTGTTAGAGAATCTAGTTCTAGCAGTTCTGATGTGTCCGACACAGAGAATGTTCCCAATGGTACTGACTTTAGGGTGTAAGAGAAGGAAAGTGCTCCAAACAAATAGAAAGGCAGTACCATATTATGGCAATTGCAGCTTTCTTCTTTTTCTTTCTTCTTTTGTCAAAATCTGCTTGTACCGCTATGCATAGCAGTCTATCAGATGATCGGCAACCGAGCCAGGGCGCGCTCAGTCGCTTCATATGCCGTTATGTTATGAAGTCTCAAGATGTCCGTGACTCCTTCAATCCATCTTCTTCTTGGTCTTCCCCTGCCTCATGGTGTTTCGATTTTCATGTTGTATGCTCTTGATGCTGGCATCGTTGGTTCCATTCTCACTAGGTGACCAAACCATTTCATTCTTTGCTTCTCAATAAATTTAACGATGGGTATGGTTCCAATAGTTCTTGTAATCACATCGTTTCTCACTCGATCTCTTCTGGTTTTATTCGCAGCCATTCTCAAACATTTCATTTCACAGGTGGTTAGTCTTCTCTCGTGTTCTTTTGTTAATGTCCAAGTCTGACATTGATAACCTAATGTCGGTATAAAGATTGTATTTATAATTTGTCTTTTTATCTCAGCTGGGACTGCAGGGTGTTTTAAAATTGGGGCAAGCTGGTATGCGACATTGTTGGCTTGTTGGATTCTTGCTTCGATCTCTCTGTCTATTTTACCATTGAATGTAAAGATACTTCCCAAGTATTTAAATTCTTGCACTTGTTTTAGGCTGTGATCTAGAATCTTTATGTCGATGGTCTGTTGCTCTCTACTTATGCTCATGACTTCTGTCTTTTCAGTATTGATCTTCATATGATGCTTGAGGCAACTGTCGTGTAGTAGGTTTATGTGGTCTTGCAGCTGTTTACTATCACTGTGGCTATTGCAGCTA